AATTTGTCGAGTACCTAGAAAGGTTGCTGGGCATAAATTGATTGCAAAATAGTTTAGCCCACCCCCCTTCCCCCTTTTGCTGCCAAGTCAACACCCACTTTGGCATTTCCAGATGCGTGTTTTTCATACAGCCTTGATATGATATCCATAGCATTCATCCCAGCATTCTCTGCTGGGGTTCTTGGTATCGTTTCAAAACTTTCAGCAAATTTAGTGATAGCATACTGATCCAATCTGCAAAAAGTTTGTAAAAGTTAGGTTAAAAACCAACCTTCCTAATTCCAATAGTCCCCCAGGGGAAAGCTATCTTCATACACTTAACAGCAAGAACTAACATTCTAGAATACGCAAAATATAAATGCAATAACTGCTTCAAAATGTATAGAATAAAATGGTTTGACTCTGTCCAGAAGACATGGTGGCCATGCAAATTTGGTACCATCAAGGAAAACACATAATTTACCCAAAAAAAAAAAAAAAGGAAAACACATAAAATAATCCTATGCAAGTATTACCCTATTTCTTTATGAGAAAACTCTTCAACTCAATTTCAGTAGCTGCAACTCCAGGTACCATACGACTATCTCTACACATTGCCTGATCACCCAAAGGAAAAAGAACAATATAGAGCAAGCAATTATACAGCTGCCAATGAAATTCGCATCTAACAAGAACAAAATTAACCATTCCAAAGGCCAACAAAAACGGAACATGACAAGGTTTATGGAGATGAAATGCTACAAAGTGGTTGGAAGAAAAAGAAGAACAAAATTATTAAACAGAATCACCTTATACGTATTCACTCCATCATCAACGGCTCTCTTAAGATGATCTAATATATTATCAGTACTTCCTTGAAGAACCAGAGTAGAAACTCTGTTTCCACCTTCTTCACTTCATAAAATAGTGACCTACAGTTAAAAGAAAGACAAGTAAAACCTAAACAAAAAATTGAAATAAAGATAACGTGACTGAAGTTCTTTATCATACCTGAACTCCACCAATTTCCTCAACCGAAACTGAATCAACATATCCCAGGTCATCTGGCTTTGGCTGGCTGAGTTTCAACTGTTGGAAAAATTCAGGTACGTTAGAGAGCAAAATATACAGTTCCTAACATAATCTAGAAATAACTTGCTTACAAGAGCAACAGCACCAATTGTGTGGCAAAATCGTCGTAGTTCAAAATTTGAGCTGATTTTTAAGACCATTAGCCTGCAAGGAGAAACTTCAAAATTAGAAGCCAATGCTATGGAGGATTGAGACAAAAACATTTACAAATATCAAAAATAGTGTATCAAACATTTTTTTTTTGCCATCAACTATCAAAGTCCTTTAGTAAGCTTGCATCTGATTCTGATGAAGACAAGAAAGAACAAAGTTGAGAATTATTAGGGAAAAGAAAAAAAGAACTAGGAAGGTCGATGTACTTGTAACGCTCACAGAAATGCAATGCCATTTCACCAATTGCTCCACCACTAACAATAACTTTGGCACCAGAATCAACCACTGCTTTGATGATCTCCTCAACCTTAGCTTCCTCAGTTTTTGCATAATTCTCTAGCTGCATTATGAAACTGTGTTAACCTTTCAAGTTTTAGCATCAAATTAGTAAAAGAAGCATATGAATACTTTCAAAAAAAAGACATGGAAAAGCATTTGGAAATAAAGTGAGAGAGGCAGTTAAGGTATGACATTATCTAGTATTGAGGATTGGGAAACCATGCATGAAGACTAGTAGACAACCATAGGAATGAAAGGATGATGGCATCTACTTAAGAAAGCACTCCATCCACCAAACAATTTTACAAGGGAGTATTTCATAATGAATTCAGTGAATTGTACAAAGGAAGAGATATGATTTTGCAAAAATCTGAGGATCTGCTTAAGCCTTACCTGTTCAGCACTGTGGATTAAGACAGTTCCTTTTGTTTCAGTGGCTGAGGTATCAACAGTTCAACACCACTAACAAACACAGCTACCTGAAAAAGGGCAATGCACACATACATGTTAGAGATTCCAGGACTAACAAGAAATCCAACCTTTCAATAACAAATTGACAAAAATGAAATAAATAGAAAAATAACCCCACACCTTTGCCTTCTCCTTTTGCTTTATACTTCCCATTGCATCGTTTTTCAAAACCATACCCCGAACTATTGTGCATTTGTGCTGTTATGCAGACCTCCTCCGGAGAGCTTTGCAACATGCACATTATCAGCGTCAAAACTTGCTGGGTTCTTCGGGCAAACTTGGATACATGCCTTTGGTACAAAAGGGGGGAAGAAAATAGTTGCCACAATTAGACAAAGAGCTAATAAACTAACCACTCATTGGAAAAAATGAATAGGATAGTCAATTAATATTAAATCAACTATAAGGGAACATAAAACATCTTCTTATCCAAATTGCTTGCTAGCAACAGCAGCTTTCATTCTGGTGATAACTTGCTCCTTAACCCTGACATCCATACTTTCTGAACCTTTCTCTACTAGCTCACCTAAAATCTCAACAGTCTGCATATATTAGAAATAGGTATTAGAACAGTTTAATATATCCAAAAAAGTTGAGAATTATCTTTCCATTCCATCCCGTTGGCAATGCATTGAGGAAACCTTGTTTATAGCTTTGGTATATCCACTGATGATCTCACTTGGGTGCAGGCCAGTGCTAATTAGCTCCTCTGCATTTTGGAGGAGCTCTCCAGCAAATGAAATAGTCAAATTAGCACCATCACCAATTTCTTCCTGTTGAGCCTTGCCTGCCAGAACCAATATCTTGGCAGCAGGGTGTTGAATCTCAAGCTCATTTACAATAGTAGCAGCATCATTTGTGACAAACAGCTTGTCCAAGTGATTTATAACCATCTTATTCATACCTGAGTTCAAAGAAATTACAAGGAAAATTACGGAACCCTTCTATAGAAAAAAGAATCAGAAAAACAAGACAAATAAAAACTGCTCAAATGGAGGAAAGTAACAAGTTCATGGTTTTAAGTTGGCGGATTTGCTCTGCTCTCTTAACAGTGAGTAATTCGACACCATCCTCTATTTCATTCATTTCAAATTCAAAAAATCAAAAATTATTGAATAATTTGCAAAATAAAACTATGTTATCATCCAGAGCCATTTTAAGCCATTAAATTCTCAAAAAAAAGGAAAATCTAGCAAATATTGCTTAATAGAATGGTTATAATTAAACACCATTCAGGTTAAAAAAAAAAAATCCTATTAGTGTATAGCTTTTAAAATTAGAAATTAGGAACTGCTCCTTCTGATACATCATGCAACCCAGACACGAAAAATGAAACAAAACCCTAAATTGCAGTAGATCAGCTATATTACGCTAAACCCTTAACAAACAAGAACAAGAAAAACTAGACTTTTAGAGAAATCAACTGAATCAAAAAGTTCGTCATATATCCAGAAAATGGATTATCATAGAGAAAGAAATACAGTTAGGGCCTAGAGAAGTGCATGTGATAGCAGAGAGCTCCTTGCAAGCATCAATATTTTTCAGAATTGCCTCCTCAAGACCAAAAAGATGCATAGCCTGAACCCCGTATGGCTGCATTGAGAACCCCATTTCTCCTATTCCCTTCTTAATTTTTCTTCTCCTTCGTCTTCTTCTTCCTCGCAGAACCTAACCCTAATCGAGAAATGGAGGAAAACAAAGCAACTCTGAAGTGAAGTGTGTAAGTGGCGTGACCCGGAATGCCCTAGAACTTTCGCCCAAAATGAATAAGAAACTCAGAAGTTACGTAAGATTTACATTTCGGTTCATAGAATTTCGAACTTCAGAGATTAAAAAATCAGATTAATTTGTCCTTCCGAATTGCTACTCAAATTTATTTCATTATATTTTGTGCCAACTAGTGCTACAAAATTGTACTGCAATACAATTTCCATTTTCTGGTATTGATTTGGTTGCTCATCATATATTTCAGAGGTCACAATGTCACATTAACGTTGATGATATTAACATCTTCCCCACTCCAAGGAAGCTAATTCACTCACTTCAGGACCCTAATATTGTTAACTCAGACTTCTCTGAAAAACAAACAAGGAGGTTCAGAAGTCCATCCTCTGGAAGATTCCGATCCTGCCCATCCCCAAGGCAAAATGGTTTTCAACATGATCTGATGCATGAGGTTAATGGGAAGGAAAGTTTATGTAATGATGTGGCAATATGTTGGTGTCTCTGAATCTGTATCATCAACACATGATAGTACTGCTGATGGTGATCTGCAAGAGTCTCATGAGGTAGTTCCCGTTATTAAAACTGAAATTCTGAAGTCTAGCAACGAGATCAGCCATTGGAATAAAGGTTGTAAAATGCTTTTGATGCTCTTTTCCATTCTACTTGTTATTTCTCATAGCACTGATATGTAGTGATGGTGGGGATGAAAGAGATCATCTTGTTCTAACATGAAACTCATTTTGTTAGTTTGTTCATGGAGTTAATATAAGTTTTTCATTTTTTGTACATTGAATGATGGTATATACAATGGGGATAGCTCTTCCCTTCCCAAATCCCTTTTTATCCGTTCCAAGATTCAAATTTGATATCTCCAATATGAAAATTCAAACTCTTAACTATTAGAATATCTCTTGAGAAATGTTAATAGAAGTTATAGAAAAATGTTTTCCACTAATGATATGTTACAAAACAATATTGATTTTCCAACTTCTTCCCTAGAGAAATTGAAAGGAGGGAAAAACAAAAGGATTATCTATGTTGTTGTATTTCACCCACCACGGGCAAGGCACCAGCATTGAAGCAGGGTCAGCGCAAATGAAATAGTCCTTTCCATACTTTTCAGACATGGAGCCAGGACTGAATAAGTATGTATGTCCTCAAAACCGATTCTTATTACCGGAAGAAGGGTTTTCAACCTTGAAAAATAACATTCAAAAATCAAGTCCTCCCTTGACAGCTCAATATACAAGCTTTTAGGTTGAAATGCACTTGGATAATGTTCATTTACCTGACAAGAGTCTCATATTTTGAAGATGGCGTCTTACAAAATGACTTGTGTTTAGTCTCTGTTCTGGTGAAGCAGCGTAAACCGGACTGAGCTTTTGCTTCAAGTTGTTGAGAGGAACATGTTTCTGTTTCCAGATAACACCATGTTTCTCTTCGCTATCGAAACCAAATCATCCTCCAGGTTGAGATTGCATTGCTTCCTATGGAGGTAAGAGCTCAAAAGAAGATAGAGGAGGGTGTGTCCAATACGAGCAGACTCCAAGTCCTTGGACTGCTGTCCCTCCCCTTTTCTTGAACTTCACATTGCTAAATAGTGCACTAGTTAATGTCATATCTTTCCTACCATTGTTTTTCACTATGACAGCTGTTGCCATACTCAATGGATTGAGGGAAATGATATAATTTATAGTCCAGCATACAGCTCAGGTCAACCTGAAAGAAAGCATCAATATC